CGGTGGAACAGTCGTCCTCCGTTAGAAAATGCTCGACATTCAGCTTGTTTAAGGTTAAAGTCTGGTTATGGACAAATCAAGTGTGAGATCAGGTATGAGTTGTGTAGTTTTAATGTTTTACTTGGGAAGAGAAGAGTTTGATGGAGTTCTTATTATGTATGAATTACGAACTTTTTAATGAATAATTTGTCTATTTTTAATATGTTTTTGGACAACAGTTGGAAATTAGCCTTTTGCTATAATCTGGTATGTTTACATGTTTATTAACGTGTCCTAGATAAATAAACTCACAGGGTGGCTGTGGACGCCCAGCCTGGTTTCGTGTTCGCTGGCAGCTTAACCAAACTCCTCTGCTGTAAATGTGATCACACCGCGTCTGTTTAGTGCAAGTGTGTGTACGTGCGTGTGCGTGTGTGTGCGTGTGCGCGTGCGTGTGCGTGTGTGTTAGGAAAAGTTTGCACTTCTTCACTTTCTTAGACTTTAAAGGCAAACGTGGTTTCCAAAGGTTAAAGGTTAGATTTAGGTTCAGGGTGGAAGATAGGGAAGCTGAGTATCCTCACAGTGTGTGTGTGTGTGCGTGCGTGTGCGTGCGTGCGTGCGTGCGTGTGTTACGAGGCGTGCTGTCAGCAGTGGCGGCGTGCAGCCCTCATTATTCTGTCGACACGCCTTGTACGGTAACCCAGCCTGTGTGAGTGTATGCGTGGCTCGGCGCCAAGCGTAAGGCGCCACTTTACGAGCACGATGATCTCACCTCGACCCTCCTCTGAACACAGCGTGCATTCAGCAGCGTGTGCAGCTGTGAATGGAGGGCTTGTCTCAGAGACGCTGGGTGGAGGCAGCAGATGCTTGTTATACTCGAGCTGTGACTTCATTCTGGAGGTCATCTCCAGCTTTACCGCCAGCCGTGAGCCAGCCGACGGCGGCGTGTTGATGAGCTGCTAACAAGACGCAACATGTGAGCGGAGCGGCTGTACTGGGAAGATTTCCCTCTGATTGTGTTTGTCAGAGGTTTTGTGCACAGCAGAGATGTGATCACACTGCGTCTGCAGCAGCTTCATAACAGAATAAATGCAAAGCTGAGCGGAGCTCTGCACACAGATCAGTCCTCGTACCCCATCATTTTCACAACCTCTGACCTATGAACCATTCTTACCAAACGTTTCGAACTCTGAACCGTGTGGAGCAAAGAACCCGTTTTAAATGTTGTTACCAGCAGCCTGTCACACAAGGACACAAATAGAGTTAATGTACCAACAGGATGTTGACAGAGAGCACCTGTCAGAGCGGCGTGCAGCGCGTCCTTTAGAGAGCTGCGGAAAGCTGCTGAAAACTGAAGCAGAGGAACCGGATCTGAAAGACCCGACACAGGAGAGACCATCTAGACCTTCAGCAGATCATTTGCTGAAGCTTCATTGGAGATGTGAAAGTGTGAGGCTGTCAGGAAGCCATCTTCATGGAGGATGAGGTCTGAAAACCACAGAAGAGCTGGACTGAAGGTCAGAGGAACAGGATCCACATCATGGTCAGTGTGTGCGAGGAGGTCAGGAGGAGGAGTCTGCAGCCGTGCTCTGTCAGTCGGTGGTGTTTGATCCACCATGCAGGAACATCTGGAAACATCAGCTTCATGTTTCAGCATGACAGTGATCCAAACAAACTGCCAGTGCTTTACAACCTGGACAGAAACACACAGGGGAACTCTGTCAGGCTGGAGCAGAGTGGGATCATCCTGATGGGAAGCCCTTCAGGAAGCCTGGAGAACTGCAGATCCTCACAGAGCTGAAGCTGCTCACAGCAACTGTACAAACTCTGCTTTTGGCCTTTTCTCCTGAATTCACGTGCATGTCTGCACATGTTTCCACTGTCTGAGCGTTTGAGGAGGAGCTGGTGTTTATAGGACGCTGCAGTCAGAGAAGGCTCGGCTGGAGCGTCAGAGGTGGAAGCGTCAGCGCGATGCAGGAGAACATCGCTCAGCACGCCGGCTTCATTTTCAGGACTGATCGAATCCCAGTTGGTGCGCAGCGGGCCGTGCTGCCGGGGCTGCTTTTGAAAACGTTTTTAGAGCTTACATAGAAATGAAACACCTGGTTTTCATGTGTGACGTGGATGCAGGCTGTCAGTCACTCACTGCCGCTTTGTCACATCTGTGACACTGCTCATCAGCCAATCACACGGCAGCACAGCCTGCTGTGAGACCAGGATGATGAGGAAAGCTGGTTTGAGTGACGGCTGATCTCTCTGAAGTTTACAGGAGAAATATCCCAATATTATCAGTCCTGTAAATGCTTTTTATATAAGCACTAAAATAAAGTTTACGCCTCTTTACAGATCAGTAAGAAATGCTGACAGCAGCACAGAAACTTTTATTTTTCACTGAGAGAATAAATATCAAAAGAAGGTGAAAACCAATGATGGAGTCGGCCTGTACAGATAAACACAAGTTTGTCCTCAGATGACTTCGTATGAAATAATCGTCATCAGTGTGGCGAGTGGCCGTCACAGCTGCAGTTCCTTTGATGACCAGCAGGCGGTGACCTGAAGCGACAGCGAGCGCCAGCGCTGCAGCGTGGATGGAAAACTGAGGCCGAGCCAGCGGAGCACAGGCTCCTCAGTGTCAGCGAGGGTGGAAACACTGTGGAAACTTACTGTGACGCTTATTTTAGAAATGTGCTCTTTTCCACACACAGTGCTGCTTTCTTTTAACGTCCTGCAGACACAGACCTGCTGCAGGGCCTGAAGGCCACAGCAGCACATGCATAGGAGTTATACATGAGCAGATCTGACCTTCGACCTGCTAACAAGGCGCCGCCTGTGAAACCGGCAGCGCTGCAGTCACTCTCTCTTTGATGGAGCCGTTAGACTCCGTGGTGGACATGTTTACCTTAAAGCGGGCACTAGTAGTGGGTTAATATTCTCATCGGTGTAGTAAGAAGATTGTTTCCATCTGCTTTCATTTCTATTCGCACGCCTGGCTGAGTTCTGGGACCTCTGAGAGCAATTGTAGCTCCCTACAGAAAAAGGAGGCGCTATGGTGGAGGTGGGTTGCAAAGCAGCTTGCAGGTGCACAGGTTAAGCTACATTTGTTTTTGTCTTTTTTGTCTTTTAGCCAACAGTGAAGATGCAGAGCAGGTGTAGCTGTCACTGGGATGGAGACGCCACCAAGGACAGATGTTGATGGTCGTCACATGACTGAAGTGTGACCCGTTTTCAGTGAAGAAAATGACTTCAGCGAAGTTCTCACTGAAATGACTCAAAGTTTTGTTTGTTTGAAGGTTTCCAGGTGTGGTCGCTCCATCGGTGGATGCAGGAAGGTTGGAGTAGGTGGAGGTCCACAAAACAGCAGCGCTCCCATTCAGGTAAAAGGGTGAAGACGACGATGATGATGCTCAGGTGAACCTCACAGAGGAGAGTCTGTCTGCTGATGGCAGCGGTCATGTGACTCAGACTCCCAGCAGGATCCCAGAGAACAGAGAGTCCTGGAGGATGCTGATGGCCGAGCCCGTGGCGTTATCCACGAACACCGACACGTACTCTCCCGCCTGCACACACACACACACACAC